CCCCCCGACGGCAAGCCATACTAACGGGAACAAAATTCTTCCAAAAGGCGCGGGGAGGAGGAAGGAAGGCAACGAGCGACAAGCAACAGACTATAGAGCAGGCGTCCAAAAAGCAGTTGGTCCCTGTCGCAGTCTTGCCGTACAAAGTGACCATCGGTATATTTTGCAGGAGAGACAGAAAAAAAAAAGAGTTTATTATTATATTCAACGCTCTTCTAACAAAGTGATTTTTGTTTTATTTTAGTACAGTTTTACGGCGCTTGCAACAGCATAAGGTCATATGAGTGCCAAGGGGTGGATGTCAACAGAGAAGTCCAAACGGGGAGGAAGGCTTACTCTGCTCACCTCTCTAGCCTCAACAGCACATGGTCTGCTTCCACTATCAAGTTGTGTGAGGGCAAAGTTTTACCATCACTCTATAAATAAATCTGTCCCCATGGTTCTATGCACCCCGCATGATTTACCAAAATTTGATCATTTTTGTCATAATTTCGGATTATTTTCCTTTATCCTCATTCATTCTTTGTTAAAATTAACAGAATTGCATAATTTCACATTTTTGGGCTCAGTTTGCATATTTCAGAATTTTTCTTGCATAAAACGCCGGGGACAGATAAATAATGTCATCTTGAGTGTAACTGTAAGAGACGAGTCTGCGTACTCACAGTACTCACAGGGACTACACAACACTGTGCTTGCATGCACAGAAAGTGGAGTAGGAAAAAAATGCAGTTTTGCTGGGATAATAGAGGTAAAGAAAAGTCTGCGATAGAGAAAATATTAAATGTATTAGAACAATTTTAAGTGAATAAAAATGTTGGACAAATCTGGCGCTTGCACGGTTCGACTTGGACAAATCTGGCGTTTGCACGGTTCGAGACTTTGACAAATCTGACGCTTGCACGGTTCGACCTGGACAGGGACAAAATGTAGCAACAGGAGTCGGGAACCCCGCAGTGAGCACCACAACAACAACACAAAAGCACAAAGAAATTCGTCTCGAACACGTCTCCAGATGATTCAGAACAATTGATAACCCGGTACAAAAAAAGACGCACAAAAAGAACAAACGTACAAAACTTGAAATCTTTTCCGCCCTGAAACACGAACCAACGAACAGACTACCCTGTACGTCCATATATATATATTATTATATATATATATATATCAAGAAGCTTGCCTTTGGGCTATGCTATAACTTAGAAACACACCAACTGGCGACAAGGAAAAAATAAATAAATAGAAATCCTAACCTTTTCAGACCCGTTTCTACGTGCCAGTGGGGACAGAAAATTACACCCGATATTGTGTGATTGTAGCACATCTTGTAGCAAAACTATTTTTACACAAAGAGCAAAATTCCAAACAATTTCAGAAATTTGGATTTCCGGATTTATCAGGAAAATCACCCCCTCTGTTATAACCACCCCCGAACACAAAGCTGTAGTATTTTTGACGGACACAGGCTGAAGGATTCAAACTCAGACCGCCGCTGGATCGAAGAAGTAAAAGCCCACAAACACATCTCTCACAGAGCCTTATCATGTACATAGTCGAGGTACAATCAAATTATGGAATAAAACCACATGAGAGGAAGCATTAACTAGTCCAAGGACATGACACACACAGACATCATGATAGAGATAGCATGTCACATGACACAACAGGACACGCAGAATGACAATTGTGTGTCACACGACACGATAGGACACGCAGAATCACAAAAACGTGTGGTGTACCAACATGATAGAAGTACCGGTGCAGGTTGATAACAAATCTGTGCCCACTAGCTAGCAAATTCCAGTGCTCAACACCACAAACCACCAAAAAACGTGTGTATGTGTGGGTGGGTGAGGAAGAGGACGGGAAGGGAGGTGGGGGGGGGGGGAAGGAGAAGGGGAGGAAGGAAGAAAGGACTTGCTGATAAGAAGGAAAGAAAGATGAGGACTCACCCCACACCCCACTGCTTAAGGCTTGCTTCAGTGTGAAAGACTACCACGGATAATATACAGACGGTACTCTTGAACAAGTTCTTCTGTTAATATGTTTTGAACAAAGGTTTGACATATATTGAACAAAAGTTCCATGTAGTGAACAAATGTTCTATCATCAGGTATAGAACAAATGTTTGATGTATTGGACAAATGTTTTATCAGGTATTGAACAAATGTTCTAGGTATTGGACAAATGCGTATCGAACAAATGTTCTATCATCAGGTACTGAACAAAAGTTTTATGTATTCAACAAACAGTTTACTATGTATGGAACAAAAGTTCTACATTATGTATGGAACAAATGTTCTATCAGGTATTCAGCAAAAGGTCTGCGTACTCAACAAATGTTCTACAAAATATCGTCAGCACCATTTCATAAGCACTTAAGTCGATTTCTGGAAGTTTCCAGACATTAGACAATCACCTGTACAAATGGCCACCTGTATAAGACAATCACCTGTACAAATGGCCACCTGTATAAGACAATCACCTGTACCAACGACCACCTGTATAAGACAATCACCTGTACAAACGGTCACCTGTATAAGACAATCACCTGTACAAATGGCCACCTGTATAAGACAAGCACCTGTACAAACGACCACATGTATAATATAAGACAATCACCTGTACAAACAGCCACCTGTATAAGACAATCACCTGTACAAACAGCCACCTCCCACTTCTTCCCTGGCATATTTTGAATGTGATAAAGAGACTGTGCTTGACGTCAGGGTGCCCGTCTGAGACAAATTCGACAGTATTTCTGATACGTCTCTTTGTTTCTTTTCCAGTGTTTAACTGAAAATTGGCAAGTGCTCTAATCATAGTTCTGGTCTGGGAACTCTCTCTCTCTCTCCCTCTCTCTTACATTTTCTCAAAACTTCAAAAAATGACTTAGGTGCTTTTGGAATGACAGTGATGAAATGTTCAGCATCCACACAGTTTTTACATGATCACATGTAACGTCCGGTCATTCGAAACAAATCTAATACAATCCCTTGAGGTGAGATACAGCAAACAAACATTTTGTACAAACGGAGACCGGAAAAACAAACCGAAGAAAAAAAAACCCCTCAAAGTAGAAACGTAAAAATACTGTACGGAGTTGGCTATGAGTGTTTATGGAAGGGTCTACACGTGAAATGAGAGTGAAGGTGAAGGTCACCTGGTCAGCAACACAAATCTGGGAACAATACACTGCGGACATCTCTAGTGTTAGGCTGTCCCCATGGTTTGATGCACCCCGCATAATTTAGCAAAATTTGATCATTTTTTGCATAATTTCTGATTATTTTCCTTTACCATTCTTTGTTAAAATTAACAGAATCGCCTAATTTCACATTTTTGGGCTCAGTTTGCATAATTTCAGAATTTTTCTTGCATAAAACGACGGGGACAGGTTAGGGTTCAACACCCCTATCAACACTCTTGGGTTATTGGGTCGTTTTTAAGCACAAAGGGGCTATCCCAAAAAATGCTGTTTAGAGAAAATTGAAGGTAAAGTTTTAGCCCCTTGTTCAGTTTCTTTAAAAGACAAGGAGAGTTTTTCTCTATAACCAAACAAATATACACACCAATGAAACCAAACTTCTCCTAAGGTAGGGCAATGCCCACTTTTGGTGTAGGTCAAAATTTCTGGAAACTCCCAAAATCTGGGTTAGCCCGCTTGTCCTTAAAAGCGACTATTTAAGAGGTGGAATCTTTGAATTTAACGTCCATCAATGATGAGCGAGCCAAATGGGTTGAGAGACATGAAAACTCCATAAAACGACTCAAGTTCAAAAACGCCCAGACTGGGATTTGAACCAGGGCCATCCGCTCCGTAGTCCAGCATGATACCAACACTGCCGTAAGCTGACAAAACGCCTTTTTTTCATTTTGGCGCCAAAATTTTCTATTCACTAAATTGAAAGTCTGATCAGTTACCCTACTTGTGTGAAAAAAATCAAAGTGAAACTGTGACTAGTTTTTGATTAAATTCAAATTCATATTACGGAACGTCTATCTTTAAATAGATACTCTGACAAAAAAAAACCCACTTTTTCTCGAAAATGCTGGGAAGAAAAAAAAAGGTGTTTGGTCAGCTTCCGGCAGAACAGAGCTAGCGGAGTACCTTGGGCTTCTAGTAGTAGTAGTAGTAGTAGAGGGTTTTACGGCGCTCGCAACTGCATAAGGTCATATGAGCCCCAAGGGGTGGGTGTCAACAGAGAAGACTTTACAGGGAATCAGACTTACTCTGCTCACCTCTCTAGCTTCAACAGCACAAGGTCTGCTTCGACTATCAAGGCATCCAGGAAATAGCGGGTCACAAGAGAGTGACAAACGTACAAAAAAAGTAGAGGAAAATGACAATAGTAAGGATGAGGAAAGAAAAAGCAGCAGTTCCCTGTTGTAGATCAGGCACAGTTATGAGCGTGACATGAGTCAGCCCATTTACAATTCTACTATGCCTGAATGAGAAATGTCCCCCCTTTGGGAATGGCCTAAAGACATTTCTGTCAGTGGCACTGCCCCGGGGGGTTCTTGGACTTCTGAGAGGTGAAACGTCATCAAAGAGCTGTCTGGTTGACACGTAGTTCACAAAAAACGAGGGAACTATTCTCCCGTTTACCAAGATAATATCGGAATAAACAATTCAATCTGAGTAAAAAATTAATTGCCCATTTTAATTTTCTTATATAAGTTAAGGGCACTTTGCAAAAAATTTGTTCTGCACTTAATTATAGTCTGAAATGATATACAATTCATGGGAGTCTTTAAAGGCTTTCGTCGTGCACTGCTCGGAAAATGACAGCACATTCCATAGAATACAGTACAGTGCAGCCTCTCTATAACCACATCGTCGCGACCAGTAAAGTAAGAAATGTCGTTATAGAGAGTTGTCCTTATAGAGAGTCAACCAAAAATATTACTAATGATATATAAAGAAAAAATTGGGACCTGGGCAGCATGTCGCTATACAGAGGATGCCGTTATGTCGAAGGTCGTTATAGAGAGGCTGCACCGTATTTCTTATTCACTTATTCCTTTAACAAGGCAGAAAATAAAACACACGAAAGGTGAAGAGAGAAGACAGCGACGAACAAACACACATGACCTCGTTTATGTGTCCCAAGTTACTGAATTTGAACAGCTTTGAACAAACGGAAACAACGCTTACATTTACATTGGACATAATGGGTGGTTGGCAGGCGCTCTGGTGCGGTTTGCTCCTTCTTACTGATCTTACCTATCAACATCTATCAGCATCATTTCTCCTCCCTTTTCTCTGTGTGTTACTCTCTAGTCACAGCTCTAGTCTTCGGCACTTCTACAACCTCTCTGTTGTACTTGCTGTAAAACTCCAACTACCACCAAACTGACCACTGGACACACAGCCAACACCACACTGACCCTCACGAAAGATTTGAACATCTCAGCGTGTTACTCTCTAGAAGCATCCCTCAACCTTCAGCACTTTTTGTTAACCTACCTGAGCTGCAAACGAGGTAAAACTAACTACAACTCTCCGTAATACTGAACATATAGAACCAATACCAAACTGACTGTGCTCATTGTTTTGACAAGAGGAAAAAAATAAAACGTAAAGGAGCGTATCTACAAACCAGGACACGAAAACAAACAAAAACCAGCGCAAACACAGCAGGCAAAACACAGCAGCAGCAATATCTTCCAATACCTTCTTGCACTTGCATTCAAAAATAAGTCTGAGCATTTTCTTGAGGAAAAAAAAAATCAAAATCCAATCATTGCACAACGAAGCGAAAATGACCCAGATATTCCGATACAGTGTCATATACACATACACAATCACAATACAACATACGCATAGCTAAAAAATAGATCAGTCGTCAAATCTCTGATTTTGTCGCCCTAGCTTGCCAAAGTACGTTTTTATCACAAAAATACAAAACAGATTTGGATCAACAACTGTCACGTTCGGGTGAGCAAAGACATCAGCCAATCAGTTCCGCTCCGTCAGCAGATAGAGTTTCTCCGACCAGCCTCAGCTCAGCGTGAGCAAAGACATCAGCCAATCAGCTCCGCTCCGTCAGCAGATAAAGTTTCTCACTCCGACCAGCCTCAGCTCAGCGGGTCATCGAAGATGTTGTCGGAGTCAACTGCTGCTGCTGCTTTCGCTGTCGACTTTTTCTTCGGCTCCTTTTTGCTTTTGATCGTGGCGGCTGACGAGTCTCCGAAAATATCATCTGGAAACCCGAGAGAGAGACAAGAGAGTGTTTAGTTTTAGCAAGAATTTTTTGGCACTTGCAACACAATATGGCCATGTAAGTGCCAAGGATTAGAGGTGTTACAAGAGAGTAACATAGAGGTGGTACAAGAGAGTAACATAGAGGTGGTACAAGAGAGTAACATAGAGGTGTTACAAGAGAGTAACATAGAGGTGTTACAAGAGAGTAACATAGAGGTGGTACAAGAGAGTAACATAGAGGTGGTACAAGAGAGTAACATAGAGGTGGTACAAGAGAGTAACATAGAGGTGGTACAAGAGAGTAACATAGAGGTGGTACAAGAGAGTAACATAGAGGTGGTACAAGAGAGTAACATAGAGGTGGTACAAGAGAGTAACATAGAGATGGTACAAGAGAGTAACATAGAGGTGGTACAAGAGAGTAACATAGAGGTGGTACAAGAGAGTAACATAGAGGTGGTACAAGAGAGTAACATAGAGGTGGTACAAGAGAGTAACATAGAGGTGGTACAAGAGAGTAACATAGAGATGGTACAAGAGAGTAACATAGAGGTGGTACAAGAGAGTAACATAGAGATGGTACAAGAGAGTAACATAGAGGTGGTACAAGAGAGTAACATAGAGATGGTACAAGAGAGTAACATAGAGGTGGTACAAGAGAGTAACATACACAAAACTGTCCCTGCAGTTTTATGCAAAATATATTATGAAAATATTGAAACTGAGCCCAAAAATGTTAAACTATGCGATTCTGTTAATTTTAACAAAGAATGATAAAGGAAAATAATAAGAAATTATGCACAAAATGATCTCATTTTGGTAAATTATGCAGGGTGCATAAAATCCAAGGGACAGACAAAAGAGAAGGAGGAGAGATGAGGACGATAGATGTCTGATAGGAAAGAAGGAGCAAACCACACCAGAGCAGCTGCCAACCACCCACTCAGGAGCGTGTGAGTCACAAAGACAAGAGAAGGTGAGTTTTTAACAAGAGTAATTTCCCTTATGTACAGTAGATTTACAAAAAGAGAGAAAATATTCCCAGACTTATCGCCAGTGATCTATTTAAATATACTACGCCCTGACTTCTACATTTTTTAAGCCCTGACTTCTACATTTTTTAAGCCCTGACTTCTACATTTTTTAAGCCCTGACTTCTACATTTTTTAAGCCCTGACTTCTACATTTTTTAAGCCCTGACTTCTACATTTTTTCAGGGGAGAGAGAGAGAGGGAGGGAAAAAAAGGTTCATGGTTTCAACCTTTGGCATTTATACCACCTGTGTGTATTGCAAGTGCCGTTAACTTTTACTAAAACCGAAAAATAAAAACAACACCCCCCCCCCCCCCCAAACCAAACCAGAACAAGCCCACGACTGTACTCACCCACATCATCCTTGAACACACTCTTTTTCTCCACCACTTTCTTCGTTTTCTTCTTGGTTTCCTTTGGCTTGGCGGCGGGGATGTCGCTAAATATATCCGTCGTGTCCGACAGGAGGTTTGCCTCTTTGGTCACGCTTTTCTTCGGGCGGCTTTTCTTCTCGTCCTGGCAACACAGACATAGAGTAGATGTCATGGCTCAAATAGAGGCAGGTACATTCACGTTTCCCCCCCCTGTAGCAGCACCAACTTTTATTTTAAATTAAAACTGTAATGATCCTTTAAAAAAAATAAATAAATAAAATGAAGGTACGATAAAAGCATAAAAACTAAAAGTTTTTAAAACAAAAAATTTTTTATTTAGGGAAGCAAAAAGTTCAAACTTAAAAGATCAGCATCCCCAACGATAGGGTACTGAGTTACAGATCAAACACAAACCTCCAAACAGTAACAACAACAACAACAACAACAACAATAACAGAGTGTAGCTCATCATAAGGAAAATGACATCGTTTTTGCCAAATCATTTTCTAAATCATACTTAACTGACAATAAAAATCACTTTTTAAAAATAAATATAATTTAAACAAAGAGAGTCTGTATTTGCAAACCTTCTCCGAGTATAGTATAGTATAGTATGGGGTTTTACGGCGCTCGCAACTGCATAAGGTCATATGAGCGCGCGAAAACACAAGTTAGTTTTATTCACAGTTCACTGTACGGCTGGGTGCGGTCATTTGATCTTAAAACTTTAAAATATTTAAAATTTGGTGTAAATATAGATTTTCAATCTAAAACAACTTTTATTTAAAAAATTTAATAATTCAATTTTGTTCTACAATTTCCCATACAGGCCTTCTCTGAGGCCAAAAAATGAAAGAGGATGTGAGCATTACGTTTTATCTTCAGTGTCACTATTACTATCTATTAGTTGAATTTGTGACTTTACCATTTAAAAAACATTTTATGTGGACACTTGACACAATTTTCTAGGAACATTATATTATATGTAGTAAAAACAATCCATTCTATACTCGTGAAGAAGCAAAAATTTCACTCACCTCAGCACTAGCTTTTGTATCTGAAAAAAAAAAAAAAATCCCATTAGGTTTAACTCTCAAGGCATAAGAGGTTAAAGACAATAAATCCATGTCTGTTTCCTGGGGTGTTGTTACATTTTTGGAGGTGTGTTGCTGGATTTTTTTGTTTTAGTAAGAGTTTTACGGCACTTGCAACACAATTAGGTCATATTAGTGCCGAAGATTAGAGGTGTTACAAGAGAGTAACAAACATAAAAAAGAAGAAGGGGAGATAAGGATGATAGATGTATCATAGGAAAGAAGAAGCAAACCACAACAGAGCACCCGCCAACCACCCACAGAGGAGAGATAAGGACGATAGATGTGTGATGGGCAAGAAGGAGCAAACCACACCAGAGCACCCGCCAACCACCCACACTGTCATTTAGAGAACGGGAAAAGAGAAATATACTGACCAAAACAACACTGGGAAAGCAAAGAAACTTTTAGTAGAGGTTTTACGGCACTCGCAACTGCATAAGGTCATATGAGCGCCAGAAGATTAGAGGTGTTACAAGAGAGTAACAAACATAAAAAAGAAAAAGGGGAGATAAGGACGACAGATCTTTGACAGGAAAGAAGAAGCAAACCACACCAGAGCACCCGCCAACCACCCACAGAGAAAGTTCGAGTACTGCAGTCATAAATAAACACATAGAACGTACATTTCCAGAAACCAGGAAAGTCTCGAAGGAAAGAGAGATAGACAAAAAGAAACTTTTAGTAAAACCTACACAAACTCAGAGAAAGGCAAAAATAAATCAGGAAACTATGCAAGGAAAAAGAAATGGAAATGGATTGGACACACCCTGAGGAGACCCCCGTCAAGCATCACCAGGCAGGCTTTAACGTGGAACCCACAAGGAAAACGAA